CAAAATTGACCCAGCTAAACTTTGGTCCCAGATCTCTCGCCGGGTTGATAATTAATTCCCAGTTTTTGCTCCTCTGGTTTGGCATGCCGGGCATGCCGATGGTGAAGCTTATGGTGAAGCCAGTTGGTTTGGCATGTCCGGCATGCCAGGCAAGAAATTGGCATGCCCAGCGACACTGATTTTGATGTTCGCTTCAGCATCATATCCTGAGAATCACATATTATCGCCAAATATATCTTAGGGAGCTTGAAGTTACAGGTTTCATGCCTGGCAATAAATGCAGATTATAACAAAAAAGTCATGTTTGTCACAATGTGTGTCACGGGATCGACTGGCAAAACTAAAGACAGAAGTCTGGATTTATAAATAAAAAGCACAACAAAACTTCATTATTCATGCGTAACATAGAATACTTAACTTGCAATCAAAGATTAATCCTTTTATTTCAAACCGATACTGACATTTCTGGGTCCAGATTTAAATTTGTTTGCGGAAAAGCGTCTTAAACAATAAGATAACAAATCTTCTCAGTATAAACTTATCCATGATTAAGTTTTATCGCGTCGGAATGTTTCTCGGTCAACAGCATTAAAAGACTGGTGAAAATTAAGCTTACCAGGTCGTTCAAGTCAGTACGAGAGTACAACGTTAATACTGCAAAGACGTTCTGATTTGGTGAATTTGGACTGCCTTCTCAGAGAGATTTTGCTTAGTTTTTCAGTGCGCTTCTTTGTCGGCTATGCGAATCTCGCAAACTGTTTTACTCCCGTCCTTGCTGACGATAGTCCTTTGAGCAACGTTATCGGCGTCATCCGAAGATACCCCGAGCACGCACGAAATCGGTCGAATTTCCGCAGAAGTGTTTTCGAATGACGATGAATCTAGTTTGTTGTAGCGTGGCAGTTGTGGCGTCACGATATCGTCATGTCTCTTCGCACTTGTTTGTCTTTTTTTTCTGCGGTGCATGGTTGAGATGTTGGTGAATGCTGGACAAGAAGTGGATTCTGCGAGAGACTGTAAGTACAAATTTAGTATTAATTTGCTAAAGAAAAAGCCTCAATATCGAACAAATCCCGTGAATTAGCCTTTTGCATTCAGTTTATCTTGCTGTTGAGCATGCCTAAGAACTCCGGCATAAGTGGTTGTCAACTCGTTCACTTCGGATTGTTTCTGTTTGTATGTCTTGTAATCTTCTTCTGCTGCTAAGAAGACTAGAGAAAACTTCAAAAATAAGAAACCAAAGCTAAAAAAAGTCAGTTCTAATTTTATAGCTCGAGTATAATTATTTTTGGCACCTACGGTCATATTTTTCCACTGTACTGGTAAAGTTACTTATTTTTGCTGCATAGTTTGACTGTTGTTTGAAAGACAATCAAACGGATATTACAATCACTTTTGGAGACAAAATAAAATATCCGTAAATCAAATGCCAAAATCAGATTTGGATTTCGCTTTAAAAAAATGAACATGCTGCGCGTGTCAATGCAAAGTTGTAAACAACTCAATATAAGCAGTCTGTGAATGTGCGTTTAGGTCCACAAAACTAATTTTTCTTTTGGACATCTCATCCAAGCAAAGACTTAAGGCTTACATTGCTTGTCTACGAGTGTACTACAAAATGCTTTGCTACAGTAAGCCTCTGAGAGGCGATTCTGGTAAATTTATAGGACGCTAAAATGCAAATA